GTGGGCTAAAAACCCTGATTTCAAACCAACCAAAAGGAGGCGTACGAACCGCACACACCTTTCTGACTGTGACAGTGATTACCGGCTCGAAACTTTCTACTTTAAACAAAGGTTATTGTACCGCGATTCGTTTGGCACATCGTATGGATTCAGGCCGGAGTGTGTAAAATACAAACAAAATACATTGGTTCCATTGATCATTGAGGTGCATTGGGCAACTTGAACGTTTCACTCCGTCCAAAGGACGTACGGTTCGATGAACTGGACATCGCCCCCCCCCACCATCCCCAAAAGGAATGCGGTTAACACATGACACCTCGCTGCCTCGCGAGTCAGACATGGGTGTGGGCAACCTGACAGTATTTCGCTCACAGGTAAATCGTGGAACTTTTTTCTTTTTATAAATAGTACTGTGCTCTGATTTGTTTAGCACAGTCTGAACTCAGACTGGTGTGAAATATGTGTAGATACATTTAGATGTGAGATAAAAGACCGTTAGATCCATAGACTTTTTAATCACGCATAACGTGACGCTGCCTCCGTGCTCAAAATGTCAACGTTAAGTGATCATTATTGGACGTGCATAAGTCAGGGAATCGACACTTATACGCAACTCTTTTCGAACAACTAGACCTGCTCAAGAAAGGCGAAGGAAGACGCCATGGTGGTAAGATTATTGGAGCATTGTGTCTCGAGTCAACCGTTTTCGAGAACTTTAGAATGCCAGATTGAAAGATCAGAGACATTGGATATTTTGCGCTATTTTACATAGCGTTTTCGCGTTATGTGCTGCCTCGCATCAAACCAGTTATCTCCCCATGGAATCTATTTGAAACAGTAAACCTTTGACCTTTAGTAAAACATTTTTCTCAATGCATGGTGCTTCAATTTATACTCAAAAGTGCATTGTTTTTATTGTTTTATCATCACGTGTCAGACAAAAGCAGCGGTAAATGAAGTTTTCAGTTGGATTTCACAAAAATGAGAAAAAGGAAAAGAGGAAAACCAGCTCAGTATCATTTATACTTTGAAAGCACAAACAGCATATGGGAGTAACAGCTTATGTGCCAAATGTGTTTAGCACCTACTTTATAAACTCAGAGGAACAACCAACGTTGTCAGTTCACTCAAGATTATCCTGTTTCGGAATTAACATTCGACTCTGACATCCCCTAACCCAATTACGGTTCTCTTTGATGAAATCAAACATTAATAGTGAAGAAACTTAGACTAGCCAGGCAAACATGTTGCCTAGCTTGTTGTACATTCAAGATAATGATACCCTCGAACAAAATTAAGCATATTTTAACTTCACTTTGGATCTACCCACTTGGGACGACAGTGGATCCAAACTACGTTGATGTATAGAAATTTTCGACTGGCTCCTCGTTGACATTTGTTGAAAGTATAACAAATCATCGTACAGCAATCTTTGCATGTGGGCGGAATACTATCAGGTCGTCCCGGCCAAAAAAGGTGAACTTTCTTGAGGAATCCACAACCGGAGCCTCCGGCTAGTCAAAGCCTAACCCGCAAGGCAGTGGGGCGGTGTGTGAAAACTGCAATCCATTGGGGGGCCGATGTCCGGCTCATCGGATCATACGCCCTTTGGACGGGGTAAAACGTCCATGGTACCCCATTTAGCCGCCACAACCGGGAAGGTGTGGTTCGTACGCATCCTCTCGGTTGGTTTGGAATCAGGGATTTTGGAAAACTTCACGAGATGAACTATCAGTGGTCCAGCAACCCGGTTATAACCCCGGATGTTGGCTTTTCCATCCTCTCTCCCACGGAGAAAACCAAAAGAGTATCAGATATGCGTCAAACTTTGGGACATTCACGTTTTTAGATCAAAAAATGAAAATGTATCTCAGTGTCATGTGTAACAACAAAACAGGATCAAAGTAACAAAACGTGTCCGCACTCACTTGCGATAAGGGGCTTTGGAATGCGAGCAGCCGCTCGGCAGCAGATCCATGACGCTCCCCTTTGCTATCTTTCTTGAATGCGTAAGATATTGTGATAGCACGATTGCACAGATACTGTCCGTTCATAGCCTCAATGGCGGCATCACTGGCCTCAAAGCTGGCAAAATTAATGAAAGCATAACCCTTAGAGTTCCCTGTCTCCGGGTCACGCATAATTTTCGGTGTTTGTAAAATCACACCAAATGCACTGAACGTGTCGTACAACAATTTTTCATCGACCTCAGGGTCCAGATTCCCAATGAAAATGTTTGCTCCGATGTCCAAATTCTTCTGATTTGCTGATGCTTTATTCACGCGAATTGGTTTTCCGTAGAGTTTGATCATATTCATGATTCGCATAGCATAATCCGCATCTTCTTCAGTCATGAATTCTACGAATCCGTAACTGGAAAAGAAGAAATCGAAACGAGAAAAAACATCCTCAATAGGTTGTGTCACTTCACAAGCACTCAAGATATTAAGCCGCATGGTGACCAAACGCATTTATGAACAAAATGGACCAGCCCCGTAATTAAATGGGAAATGAATTTAATCAACCTGAGCTACCAGAAACCATTAGCATTATAATATGAACTCTCAGTGGAACTTTTTCGCTCGCGCTCACTACGAAAAGTGATGTTCGTTAGTGTTGCCTCCGGTCTCCGTTTCCGTTAAACTTTATCATAGATTATCCGACACCATCCCTAAGACTTTCTATGTATCCAAGCAGCGTGTGTTGTTCACGTCCATATATATATATATATATATATATATATATATATATATATATATATATATATATATATATAT